CACAACCACACTGATTTGAGACTTGATAATTATTACGATAGGAACAGTGTTGGGGAAAGTTCAACTCAGATCCCACTTGAGATTGACTACTAATTATGAAGAGTTAATTAGGGAGGCATTAGCTTACAACCAAGGAAAGAAATAGATAATAAATTTTCTCAATCTAGGGAAAGATCACAAAGTGTATAATTATATACATTTTAATCGGAATGTTTTAAATCTTCCTGTAAGAAATATAGAAAATAACATATCTCCTAAAATATCTTCCACCTAAGTGTTGTTCTTCATAAGGTATCCATTATCAAAAACATTTCTTAGCTCCAGTTATTATACATGTTTTGTGTGTTATAACCGTTCAGAGATGTAGGAAGGAACCTTCAGCTCTTGTCTCTGGTGAAATCTTACACTGGTTAGTAAGAACACCTGTAGTTATTTTCTAGAATGAGCTTAAAAATTATTTTAGCATAATTGTTCAGTTATGGAATATGGTGACAGAAATTGGGGCTCCAATGATGTTTCTCAGAAGTCATACCAGACAGGAACGCTAAACTCTCTTATGATGTAATTGTTGAATTTTAAAACTGATTTTCTTCTTGCTTTCTTGAAGCTGAGCACTTTTAATTGGGAAAATGGATAAAAGCCAATTATGGAGGGAGAATAAGCTAATGAGTTGCATTTTTAACATCTTCTAACCAGGAACAGAGCACAACTGAACTCTGTGTGCAGTGGGCAGCATTGGCACTTGTTTTTGGCGCATCAGTGTTAGAAGGAAAGGGGTTTTTAGCATGAGTATACACAGGAGAGAGAGAATGTTGGTGACTGGCTCTTACATTCTCATCTAGGGCTTGAAACTAAGAGTGATTATATTTCATGCACTGTAATTTCTTGGCACTTCTCAATTCCTATGAATATAGATGGCATCATTTAGAGATTTTAGCAAAATTTAGATAAGTTACATTTTATCATTGTTGAAAGAAATATTTTTAATACTTAACAGAAGGATATAGGGAAGGATTTTAGTTACCTTTAAAAATAACAGAATGAAGCCGGGTGCTGGTGGTTCACGCCTGTAATCCTAGCTACTCAGGAGACTGAGATCTGAGGATCGCCGTTCAAAGCCCGCCTGGGCAGGAGAGACCGTGAGACTCTTATCTCCAATAAACCACCAGAAAACCGGAAGTGGCGCTGTAGCTCAAGTGGTAGAGCGCTTCCCTTGAGCTGAAGAGCTGAGGGACAGCGCTCAGACCCAGGGTTCAAGCCCCATGACCGACCAAAAAAAAAAAAATAACAGAATAATCTTAATATATTCTTTGTTTGAAAGAAAAATGAAATTAGCTCTTAAAAAATGTCTCTTCCCAACTTATTTAATGTCACCAAGTTGTAAAATGTAATAAACGCCTTCTGTGGATTATTTCCAATTTGTCATCATATATCTTTGAATATTTCCAGACACACTGCTACATCAGCTTGAGAAAATTATATAATCACTCTGAATTTATTTTTCTAAAAGTATGGGACTAATAACTGGAAGGACAGCTCATTAATCTAAGCTTTTGTATTAATTTCAACTTGGAGGTCAACATTTGATTATGTATTTGATATATAAAAATTTATTAAAAAAATTCTAAAATATTTGTTAATTCATGTTGTTCTCTCCAATTTTGTTGAATCAGTTATAATACAGCTGTGTGTAATATACCTGTTTAAAACCTTTTATTTTATCAATAGTAATATGAAAATTTACTAAGCTGAATGGGAAGGAAAAAGTAGTTGAGATTCAAGAATATGAATAATTCAACTGTCCATGAGTGAATTACTTCAATCATCTGAATTTCAGTTTCTTCAAACCTCAAAGAAAAGAAATTGTGCTAAATGGCTTCTTTGTCCATTTATCGTTTTCAAATTATGGTTCTACCATAAACTCAAAACAACTCTTTTTCAAAATTATACCTTTATCTATAAGCAATATAGAATCATGTATCTTTCCTCCTACTTATTTTTCTCACAATAAGAAAAGTGATTGTTTTATTTTGTAGTTAATTTTGTTCCAAATCTTCATATAGTAAAGAATATCTTAATCCACTTAGGCAGTACATTCTTTTAGTCCTTGAGTAAGCCAATTTAGCACTTCTGGGAAAAAAATTTTGCACTCTTGGTCTTTTTTTTTTTTTTTTTGTCGGTCATGGGGCTTGAACTCTGGGTGTGGGCACTGTCCCTGCACTCTTCAGTTCAATCTGAGTGCTCTATTGCTTGAGCCACAGCACCACTTCTGGTTTTCTAGTGAAATATTGGAGATAAGAGTGTCACAGAATTTCCTGCCTGGGCTGGCTTTGAACCATGGTCCTCAGATCTCAGCCTCCTGAGTAGCTAGGATTACAGGTGTGAGCCACTGGCTCCTGGCACTCCTGGTCATTTTTCTGGAAGGAAATTACATAATTTGTTTTTTGGAGGGGGGGTCATGGGGCTTGAATTCTGTGCCTAGGCTCTGTCCCTGAGTTCTTCAGGTCAAGGTAAGCACTCTACACTTGAGCCACATAACCATGTCTAGTTTTCTGGTGGTTAATTGGAGAGAAGAGTCTCATGGACTTTACTGCCCAGGCTGGCTTTGAACAGTGATCCTCAGATCTCAGCCTCCTGAATAGCTAGGATTACAGGTGTGAGCCACCAGTGGTCAGCTATTACATAGTATTTTTAATGAAAAAAGTTTATCATGTTAGTAAAAGTTGTTTTTGGCTATTTTTTAAGTGACAGAAAATACTAGTAAATTGATAATGGAATGGTATTTCATCTTTATCATCTCTGATCGACAAACTGTTATATGTTGAAGAAACTTCTGACTTCATTAATATAACTAAGTTTACAACATTTCATAGTTTTGTATATAATTAAATTGGAATAGAGACCTGATAAAGAGAACAATTCAAGTAATAAAGTAGAAATATAGGTGCTTGCAGCCTATGTGACTGTAAAATAGTTTAATTATAAGAAGATATATTGTTGATATTAATTGTAATTCAGTTCCTAGGACCATTTAAAGGATCAAACAATATAGTTATGCATGAAAGAATTTTTTATTGCTTTTGGAATAATGCTAAGAGTTACAATCAAATAATTTGCATAGTATTTTCTATAATGGAATGTTCTTGTATTTACTTTGCCTGTAACACTTTTTCCTCAGAAATAATAGTTCAGACAGAATACCTCTTTCCCAGATTGTTTAGATTACAGTGCTCACTAAAGCTGTACTAATCTTTTAACTGAGATTCTGATTTTATAGTTTAGCACAAGGTTTTAGATTAGAATCAAACTAGTACTACCTTATCCACACTTGGTGAAATAGATAGTAAAAGAGTAAAACAAAAGGAATTTTCAAATTACACTTTCATCATTTCATAAGAAGTCAATGTTTAATTAAGTTTGTTCCTAAACTATAGTCCCCATGTATAGAATGGTCTTTCCAAACCCTTCTACAGCATAGTCCCTGGAATTTCAGGAACTTCTAACTTCAAAAAAAAAAAAAAGAAGAAGAAGAAAAAGAAGAAGCTTTCTGAACATGTTTCTTTAGTGCCAAAACTATCCAGGCATTAGGTAAGGCATCTCACATGGATAGCAGATGAAGCCCTTGTCCTTTTCCTGCTTCTGCCTACAGAGGCTGCTTACACATGGAAGAGTGAGACCAGTCTGCAGAAATTCCTTCCTAGTTCACACAAGAGCAAAGCCCGCTGCCTTTCTTCTACTCCATACAAATGCCACTGAGAAAGGAGAGTCTGTTAAAACACTGAGGTCTGAATTTAGCTATTCTAGAATATTATTGAAGACCTAGCCTTATGGTTCAATTTGCTCAAGCACATTTTACATGACAAGGTTACTATAAAATGAAACATGTACAAGAAAGGCAAATTCATGTTCATTTGCAAAGAAAGTTAAAGGGTTCTAATTAAGTCTGTAGACTTCTAGGAAATGATAACCACATATATATATTTTGGACTGAGGCTTTGAAAACCCTCGGCTAATATATCACTATATAATGGAATTTCTCAAAAGTTTAATTTTATAATTTCACACTACTTTATTATCTCGTGTGCTTTAATTTTCATATTATTTCTTATCTATCACTTTCTTATGTTAATTAAAATTTTTCTATATCATTAAATGCTTAATCTTTCAGTTAGATGATTTTGCATGTAATTATGGGGAAAAGAATGGGAAACTTTTCTATGATTACCTCAAATGATAATGCAGAGTTGCATATAATTTATAGTTAATTAGCTTATTTGGAGGATTAATTAACTTCAAATTAATTACATGAAATTTTTATGTGATCTATATAGAAAAGTCATTTGTAACATATAGCTATCAAACTACTAAACCCACACCTCATAAATAAAACAAACTATGCATTTACACACAGAGGCAAATATATCTAAAATATGAAACTATTCATATACGGAAGTTATTGTAGTACTGACTGACTTCATTCATATTGAAGGAAAGAATCTAAGGAAGCATTTTAGTCATTTCAGTTGTGGTTACCACTTAGAACTGTTAATATTCATAATATCCACATTAAAACTGTTTAACATGGTCTGTGTGTCTGTTAGTTTTTTTCAACTATGTTACAGCACTGTCATCTGTTTCCGTTTTATTTTGTTATGTATTGTCATTATGTATTGTTTACAAAAAAGGAACATGTTTTATTTATACACGTTACTCAATTTTGCCATGGCCTTTCCAAACTCCAACTTAATGGAGATTAAATACAATGGAGCTATAGGAACGGATGATAGATCTCTGTAGTGATTATAGCTTTAACCTCTAACTAGCTTTCATTTTTCATCTTTACAATTTCCATTTCCTCTCTCAATTGAAATACAGTCAGTTGAAATAAATGGATCTTCCTGCACAAGTTGATGGTCCCCTGAGCTCTTCCGACGCTAGCGGCGGTCTCCTAGTGATACTGTTAATAATTTTTCATATTCTTTTTCTCTCTTTTCTTTTAGTCTCGTCCTATTCCTTCCCACCTTACTTCAGCAGTTGCCGAGAGTATCTTGGCTTCGGCCTGTGAGAGCGAGAGCAGAAATGCTGCCAAGAGGATGCGCCTGGATAAACAGCAGGTAATGAGGCGGGGTGTCCGGTGTTCATCCCCTACAGCGGATGTGGTTCATGGACATAGACAAGCACAAACTCTTGCCTGGATCTGAAGTTCACAGAGACAGTGCTTTTGTGCCTTTCTGTAATGCATTTGAGTTGGAAAAAACATGCAATGTTCATGTCATCCGTGGAGCTCAAACAACAAAATGCTCCTGGCATTGTGGAAAAATGAGCATTAGAAAAGCTAAGTTATAAGCCGGGTGCCAGTGGCTCACGCCTGTAATCCTAGCAACCTAAGAGTCTGAGGATCATGGTTCAAAGCCAACCAGGGCAGGAAAGTCTCTGACACTCTTACTTCCAGTTAAATCACAGAAAAAAGCTGCAAGTGGCACTGTGGCTCAAGTAGTAGAGTGCTATCCTTGGACAAAAAGGAGCTCAGGGACAGCAGTGCCCAGGCTCAGAGTTTGAGCTCCAGGACCAGAAAAAAAGAAAAGCTGAGTTATATTTCTGTATCCAGTTTGAAGGCTAATTACTCATTAAGAGGTCCTGACTAATCATTTGTCACAGGTTTATAAACATTTCTTATAATTTATGATAGCAACTTGATCTAGTTCATTTTGAATGAAAGTGAACCTTCTTCTCATTTCCTTTGGTCCTAATGCATATGTCAATAGAATAAGGCGAAAGTGAAAACTAAGTTTGAATGATTAGAAAACCATTAAATGGGAATTGTGTGTATGAAAACCCACATCCTGGATTTACTTTTCTCATCAACTAATCATTTAATTTACTCTTGTACATCACCTTTCTACGTGTGTTAGTGCAGAAGTAGGTGCATTTTGATGCATTGCTAATTAGTGTCTCACTATTCTGTAACCGAAGCTTATGTGTGACCTTTCTGTCCCCTGACTGATCTCTGCAATGGCATTCTCTCTACTTTTTCTGTCTTCTTCATTAATTACCTGTAATGAAGAACTGAATTAACACTATATACTTTAAATACTACACATTAAAACTTGCCTATTCTGACTTCTTTGTTTTTACCACTGAATGCATTATATTTCTCATTGAAGCTTATATATATATATATATATATATACATATACATATGAAATCATAGCATATCTAATACCTTACATATTGTTTGAATATCTGAAGTAACAGGAAAATCTCACCTATTGTACAACAAATTTATTTACTCCTGGCTAATACAGAGTTAAGTTAATCAAGATTTTTTTTTCTGGTGACTATTGAGTATCATATAATAAAGAAGTCTTTCCATTCCAGGCTTAGAATCGTTGAAAACATTTAAGAATAACATTATATTTAATGTTTTTATTATCATTAAAATTTCACTGCAAAATATAAAGCCTTTAGTTATTAAAAAATGTTAATTAGCCTATCTTAGCCCACACAAAATGCCTATCTCAAGTGTTTTAATTATGCTATTAGTATTTATTAATATGCACATATCCTGTTGAAAGTATTCATTATTATATCTATAAATATATTTATATACTCATTATATTTATATACTCCTTATTATATCTATAAAATAAATTATGGCACTATATACAATAAATCAAGAAACATGAATAGTACTACGTATAAAATAGGAGTTTTGAATTCAGACTCAACTCATTTGAGAAAAGATATTAATTCCAGAAATGGGAAACAATGCAATTCTAGAATTATAATATTCTTCTTGATTGTCATATAGCTATATATCTCACCTACTCTGTTCTCTAGGTTTCCCTTCAGATTACTAGTCAAATATAGGGGATTGTTATAAATAAAAAAAGTAAGCAATTCATGTTATCTATGATGTCATTACAATATCCACAAAGCTGATTTTCCACTGGCATTTCATACAATCCATGAACCACTATGAGCCTAATTTTAAAGAATGAGGGGATAAATACCTAATTCATAGAGTTACTGTGAGGATTTAGCAAATCTCTGCATATGAAAACACAATGTATCTAACATTACACTTGCTTCAGCACCTCTAGGAACAGGAGAGTCCTTCTGTTTACTAAATCAGTTGTTGTACTATCAGCATTAATTCCAAAGATGTCTCAAAGAGTTCATTTCAAAGATATTTAAGTTGAGCTCAGATTTGTTTCATAGAACTTCTGATTCCACCAACTGCAGGAAAACTGCTAGCCAATAAAGAGGAGTAGAATTTCCTATGATTTTCCCTGCCTGGGATGTGAGGGTGGGACCAGTGGCTTCATGCAACTACTCACATTTGCTGTTGCTCTTTCCTTTTTCTTTGTCTCTTCAAATAATAGCCTACTGGAAAGCTCATTACCTGAGAATCAGTAATATCCAATATCAGCTCCAGATAGAAATGGTCTTTGCAGGCCTTAGTCATTTAGAGGGCTTGTGAAAAAAATATTAATTATATTCTGTGTTTACTGGAAAGTCATGGAACACTTTACAGATTTCTTTTTTTTTTCACTCACTATTGTCAGCAACTCCCTGAGGGTGGATAGCATTACCCTCATTAGCATACAGGAAGACAGGTTCAGAGAGGTGATACAGACAAGACAAAGTCAGCTGCCCTTGGAGTCTTTCTGTGATCCTATAGTGCTTCTCACTGATCTTGTTTCTAAAAGAAAAGCCCAGGCACTGGAGCAGGTCATTTTGCTTTTGCTCCTAATATTTCACCAAGTCACTTTTCTGTTAGAAAACAACTGTTTTTGTTCAAAAAAGACTTTATACTATAAGTAGAAAACAAGATTCGGTCTGGATTCCATATTCCTAAAGATCACTTAACTTCTCAAAGTGAGTGTTTTATTTCATTAGGAAAACTGGTTTACACCCTGTGACAATTGGTTTACTATTTATAATTAATATTGTTTAAATCCAACATTATTTCTTCTTAGCATCCGTTCTGTGAGTTTCATTTGGCATGGCACACAAAGAATTCTGCCATGTGATTCTGCTTTCTACTCAAACATCGAGAAGGCTCTCATAACTGAATTTAAATCTCTGACCAACAAGGATAGCCAGAAATCTTTAAGGATCTTGGCACTGAGACATGCTGTGTGCAGTCTTAACCCAGCTCAAAATTCTCAGAATTATCCAGTGGTTCAGAAATTCCTCATTAGTCCTCACTTCCTGTAGATGGATACAAGTTCCAAAACAGAATGGTTACATCTGTTTTCTGTTAAGCCACACATATGATCCCTGCTGCCAGCGGTTAGTTATATAGAGAACTGGAATTATATAAATCCTTCAGAGTTTATGAAACGTTGATGAATTAATTGGACCATATAAAGCTCTTTGAGTTATGAACATGAAAGGTTTTAGGGATGTGTTAAATTCTTCATTTTAAATTTCCATGTTGCTTTAAAATCTAGAGGAAGCCTGTTAGTATGTGGTCTTGACTCTCAAAGCAAGCCATTGGCAAGGACAGGAACCCACTGGTTCATTGAGAATCAGATTTCCTACCAGTGAGCTTGATTCCTCATGCATTTTAGAATGAATCCAGTATTTGTTTCCTTTTAAAGTGAAAAGCCTGTGTTTACTTATTATTTAAGAAATCCCTCCTCACTGTGACACTTCATAAAGATGGTCAATGCAAGACTTCACTTTTATAATCCTGTGACATAGTTCAGCTATCTGGGTAAAGGATGGGGTGGATCATTTTTGTGTATCTTTAATACTTAGATATTGTTTTTCCTTGAAATACAAGATACCTCATTGTTCTTAATTACAGTTTTTGGAGGAGACAGGACAATGAGTGAGATTATACCCAGCTACATATTGGTGGTTTATCTCCTATTGATGGCCATATATCTCTGCTTTTGAGGAGTGACATATCTTATTCATAAGCTTGATGAGTGATTAAGATAAATAATATCTGAAGAGTACAATGATTTTCTTGGATTCTGTCTCCCATTTTTTTCACTTAAATCACTTTATATTTCAAGAGAAGGAGCCTATTTGGTAGCAGCTCAGCAGATATTGTCCTTGAAAAAGAATAGTGAGTGCTGGGTGGGTAGCAATTTGTGCTATGATCAGGACAGATGGGAAATCAGTGGTGGACTATGGTGTGACATATTTGATGTTATTAAACAGAGTGAGATGTTTGTGTGTTGGTTACCTGTAATTTTAAAAGGGAGGAGGATGACTTGTGAAATTAGGGGGAAAATGCTATTGGATCACCTGAAGAAACCCCGTGGCTCAAGATTTAGTGATCACAATGGTTCCTTACTGTTATATGTTTCACAGTGGTCAGCTGTGATCCATATCTTTTCATTTTTCTTTTGTTCTTTAGGGCACCAAGAAGTAGGACATATGGTTATAAGAAATGTGGAGTTGGGAAGGTGGCTCAGTGGTAGAGTGCTTGCTTTGCAGCATGAAGCCTTGGGTTCAATTCCTTAGCACCACATAAGCAGAAAAAGCTGGAAGTGGCACCGTGGCTTGAGTGGTAAAGTACTAGCCTTAAGCTGAAGAGCTGAAGGACAGCACCTAGGCCCAGAGTTCAGGCCCCACAACTGACCTAAAAAAAAGTAATTGTGTATATAGAGGTTGAAATATAGTTGTGTGTACAGCCACATAAATGTGGTAATAATTTTAACAGAGACTTTTTGTCAATGGCATATTGGAACACTATGGAAACACTTTGATCAGGATAGTGTTTGAAAAATGAATCTTTTATTTCATATTTCTGTAGATGTAGGCCCTTCCAGTGACTTTTATGAACTTTGACAAATATCAAACTGAGAGCAACAAATTTTCAATAAGAATTTCTTCATGAATTTAAACAGTGTGAGAGTAGACTAGAAATCTATTTTCTGTGGCCTGCCAGCTCATATTTCCTTGCTGCTCTTGTTCTTAAGAATTCTTAGCTATTTATTCTTCTCTAGCATTTTCCTTTCCATATACAATGTTTTGGAGGAAATTGTACTATTCAGTCTTTTAAAATGTTTTACCACAAGACAAAATATACTCTATAAAAAGCATGCCACATAGTGCTATAAATAAACTCTGTGTAATAGAATATTCATTA